TCTAAAAGACCAAGTACTATTTCTACGTCTCGTTTTCATCTCACATAATTATTCCCAATCAAGGTTTCAATAGCAGACAGTTGATTCGAAAGGGACGAGGCATTATAAACTGTGGAAACATAAAGTATCACACTCTTAATATCATCCAAACATAATACATGCAATCAAATGGATGATGTAATACCCAACTAATTAATATGGGCTATTAATTAGATAATTCGTAATTTAAATCGAAACATATGAATTTTATTACGGTAAGAGCCTGAGTGCATCATTATAGAGTCACCTTTGGGTTGACCTTACAACATGCTATAAGGTACTCTTAAAATACATTATATAGCTAGTTAACAAAATTACATTGATTTTCGAAATTCCAACACCTTTGGGTAGAAGGAAATTTTTAAACCAAATAAGCTCGTTAACTGCCTTATGCCATTTTTTAAAAAATATTTCATGTAATAATACCTTTGGGCAAAATATTATATGCAATAAATCAAATATTCTTGGGTAAAAATATATGTATTTTTTTTATTGTAGAGAAAACCGAACAAATAGCAATGAGTATGCCACTTTGGCAGCTACCAATTTTTATTTCAAAATATTTCTCTTTGTGGGGACAAATAAGGATCATCTCAAAACTCATAAAAATTTAATCACAAAACAATAATTACGCAAAAATTAATCGATAAAAAACAAAGATTCATATGTGATTGATAGACGAAATTAACAACAAAATTTCAAAAAATGAAATTTAAATGCACAAATAATGGCAATATTTAAATACATATACAATTTAATGAAAAATATAAAAGTCGTCAATTAATTTTATTATTTATTCAATATATAATTTTAATTAGGTCAAGTTTAAATAAAATTTCAATTGGATCAAAATTGTAATATTGGAGTATGGACTTTTAAATCCAATTTCAAAATTCAAATTTAATCACCTTTTGAAAATTGCACTTTGACCCCATGTCTAAAATTAAAACCAAGTCCTTTAGTTTCTTTAATTACAAGCAGGCCCTTCTCTTATTATTTACAAACTTAATCCCCAATCTGTAATTGCAAACAGGGGCTAGGAAATTAGCAATTTACAATAGGAGCCCCCGTCTACATCTCCCCCAAAATCGCACTAAACATTCAATCCTTCACAAGATTCTTGGATTAATTGTGGATATATCAATCATTGTATCAAGGGAACCCAATGTCTAAACATTAGGATTCAGGAGATAAACAAATAGTTAGAAGTTCTCGAAAACGTCGGAGAATTCAAAGAAGAAAATAACTCCAGCAAACCATTAAATTTCCCTACTAAAAGTACCTACAGAAACTATGAGAAAACCAAGATTAAAATATTCAATATCCATAAAATTCCAAAATACCACTCAAGAGACCAAGTAATCGCACCAAAAAACTGCGGTATGAAGATTCCGTTATTTTCCTCCTTTTGTGGGGGCTTTTTTTTCCTTCTTCATTGCTTCTGCTCTTGGCGTTTTGGTGGCCATCCCAACTTTAGGTAATTTGAATTGATTTCATTAAATTAGAATGGGAAATTTTAATTGTTTAATGAAAAGTTTTCTACCTAATAGATCCTGTTTTTGCTCAAACTTCTGATTTCTTCTTTATCCGCTGACTTTTCTTTTTTTTTTTTATGATCGATATACTAAAAATTATTCTCTGGAAGAGAAGGTTTTTGGATTTTGCAGATTTGGGTTTTGATGGCTGAATTATACACATGCATACACAAAAATATATATGCACAGAAAAGTGTAAAAAAAAAATCATGAAGGATTTCGATCTTAACATGCTGCTCTGATACCAATTGTTAATATTTAGTTTTAATCATGTTAAGAATCGATAATCACAATTCAATAAATTAATATAAACGAATTCATACCTGCGGAAGTCATTGTTGATATGAATAGTAGTTGTAATGCAGACAAGATCTTCCCCTCCTTGCTCTTCAAAAAATATCAGCTATCAATGGGGCAAGCCAATAAAACATATAGAGAAGAGAGGGGACCTAGCCTTTAGATATAGGAAATAATTTGAGCTATCCCATTACGACTAGAATTCTAATTAGGGTTTATTTCCGGCCCAAATACTTTAAATTACCACATCAAATTAATTACATCTCATAAGGTGTAAAAGGTCCAATTGATCACTTAATAAATTTGGCCCAAACACAATTATCATTATGAGCCATATATCTAATCCGTAAAATTTTGCAATCGAATGTAAAGCTCACATATAGAATTATTAATTATTCCAACATGTGAACCTGTATTTTGGGATACAACGTTAATACCATCATGCATGCTTGTAAAATTTAAATAAAACAGGTATACTTCAGAGGACTATTAATTTGACAATTTAGTCATATTTTCGTTCTCCAAAAATTATATCATTTGACAAGGATATCTCGATACTTCTTTCAAAGAGAAAGCAGCGTGGCTAACAGGTATTTGAGTTCACAAGTCACATAATTTATGAAATGCAAAATGTAAGGCTGAGAGAAAAAATGAAGGGCAAACATTAACTTGAAAAAAGGGACCATAAAGAAGCTAGAAAAAAGAAGTGAATCAGTGACGGAATGCAAAAGTTGATAGTGTTTTCAAATTTCAAGCAACAGTGATCAATGATCATTTAAACAACCAATCACAATGAAATATGAAAGGTGACAATTATAAGAAAGCCAAGTAAAATCGACACGTCCAACACAATAAAAGGAATCTAATAGCGTGGTTCAATTTCCATTCATCATTTGAAATGTAAAAGAAAAAATATCACTTCCTAAAAATCATATTAAAGTAGGCTTCAAGCAATGATGTGGCTGCATCAAAGACCAAAACAACGTCACTTTACTATTTTTACAATAAAAAAAGGCATCATTTTGGTCATGTTGTCTCTATTAAAACTTACACAAGAAAATCAATATTGACTACATGCTCAATTTCTAATGCTTCCAGACCATGCTCGAGGAAATCAAGTATAACAGATGCAGACTTTGCATTACATATTTTTATATTAGGCCCCCGTTTGAGCCACATTATTGTAAAAATGAGAATAAAAAATATAGACGTTATGGGCTCCACATAAAAGATAAAAAGTCAAATATGGTGATTTGATGTGATGGATAACGGTCATATTTTTCATTTTAATGAGAAAAAAATGAGGCTCAAACAGGGCCTAAAAGTGGTGTTGTATCTTTATTGTGATTCAACACCCAATAAGTAATATAGATGAAAATAAAACAAGGACTTTTAATGGGGAAATAGAGAGGTAATTAAAAAATTGTTCCTTTGTCTAACAAGAAAAAGCCTATGCATTCGCCAAGGTTCATCTATGGTCAAAGAAATGAGCAAGTAAATAAAATAATACAATCGAATTATGTGTTTCTATAAAAGGGCCTAAGAACTGTTGTGTTTCGTGCAGTTGATCAACAGTGGGATTATATTGTGACAGACTGTCTATGCTAGTCGAAACTTAACTTATTTGATTAGTAACATGCCTAATGAAACTTTAGTGGATGCTATGCAAGCGCTGGTTGTATCATCAGGCTGGCCTACAACCTTTTACCTACGAGCAAGTTCCCTCTTTGCTCTTGGGATGGAATGGTTCGGTTTCATGTTCTATTTCAGTCTCCAGTGGGGATTTCTTTTCACCTTTTCCCCTACGATACTACTTTGCCAATTGAATGTGTTTCCTAAGCTTTCTTCTAATCCAAAGAAAATCTCTTTCTATTGTTATTTAAATATGACCCATTTCCATAATGGTTTCAGTTGCATAATCATCACAAGCCTATGCTTTTGTAGTCCTTAGTTTCACGCAAGTATATAGTTGGAAAATGACAATTTGGTAAAAATTTTATATTCAGTGATCTACATCGTAAACCACCCAAATTAAGAAAGGCCTCTTTAAGTCTCTTTTGAGGTACATTTTTTTTTTTTTCAAAACTACAGAAATTCGTTGCACTCAATCTGTTCTAAAATTTTGAATCATGCTTATAACATCCTTAATCTTTTGATCGACCAAAAGATTTTGATCTACGTATCATTTCAATGACAAATCTATCAAGAAGAAATATTTCCTTAACTACAATAAAAAACTATACACATAATCACCCAAACTATAATGCTCAATTCAAACATCGAGAAGATCGAAAGCTGGAACAAAAAGTAACGGATAGTGAGAACGAATTATTTGGAAAAAAATACCGTCAAACAAAGAAAATATAAAGGTGACATACCTGAGTCCTGAGTTCGATAATCTTCAATTTGTATGTGAATCTTTTTTTTTTTTTTTACAACTTGCACAGAACTTCAAAAAAAACATACTGAAGGAAAAGAACAAAACATCAAAATAGACATGAATAGAATTCGACAAAAAATAAAACAAAATTATAAAGGAACATAATTGACATCCTCAAAGTCTAATTTCTGTCAAAATTTTATGATCTTTTGGAAACAATTTGTTAAAATTATTGGAAAAAAAAAAAAAGAACGAAACAACTTGAACATTCACAACTGACAAAACTCAAATTTCTTTCGAGGTTCTACCATATTTTGGAACAATTTGTTAAAGCCTCGCAAAAAGGAAAAAAAATATCAACATTAAACGGTTATCATTGCAAGAAATAATACAGAAAAAAGAAAGAAAGAGCTCGAAGATTTACAACAACAAAAATAGAAATGGTCAATTTGTTAGGAACTCGCAAAATTTAAAAAAAAATAAAAAAATTCAACATTAAACAGTAAAATATGCAACAGAAGAAGAAACTGAAGGTCTCTTTCGAGATTTCTATGGTTTTTAGGACCGATTTACTAAAACCTTGCAAGAAGAAATGACCTTCTTCCATTAATGCTTCAAACTTATTAATGGTTTTTTTTTTTTTGGAACCACACCCATTTCTTCTTCAAACAAAAGAAGAGGAAACACAGAGAGAGTTTGGCGAAAGAGTGAGTGAGAATCCCAAACAAAAGAATCTAAGAATTCAGACGATAGTTTGATGGATGAATCGATCTACCAACAATGCAGTTCAGGATCTCTTGATAGGCTCAACGAGAGCTCCTCGAATAGCAAAACAAATTGAACCATTAGACGAGCATGGGTTGTGCATAAGAAGGCAAATTTAGGATTTCTTTGTAAATGAATGAAAAGAAAAATGAGAGTGAGAAGACAAAACAATTCAGAGGCACAGAAAAAGAGAAACATAAGAATCAATTTATAGTTGAGAAAACAAAAGGTTTCAGATGACAACAGTAAACGGGTATGATTTTAGTGTAATGCTACTCAGGCATCCCGCATGACACTCGGCTTGACCGCATGAGGTGGAAAGCTTGTTGAAAAAAGAAACAAAACAATAAAAAAGAAAGGGGCACTTATTTCAATCCGGTCACACCTTCGATCGGATCATACCCATAATTGGAACATTTTTCTTCAATTTTTAGCAGGCAAACTGGGCAAGATGATTCTAGGGCAAATTTGGCGCTATCTTCATTTCCGGTGGCTTGAAACCCGACTGCATCTCCTTCTCTCCTGGGATTGAAGCGGGGATATCGATTTTTGGTGTTTTGAAGATAAACCCATTTGCATCTCTATCTTGTGTTCTTGTTACCATAGTTTTGCAAAGGGAGCAGCGTCAACAAGAGCTTCAAAAGTGAGCACGAAATTGCTTCCACCGAATAATCAATAGCAAGGATCGAAAGAAGTTTATTTGCTATTACAAGTGGCGGTTCTTTGTTGAGTAAATATGTAGAGATAAACATATCAATTCTAGGAAGGTTGAATAATTGTTTTGGGTTCCAAAGATTTGGTTCAAAGGATTCCAACCGCTCTTTCAAGGCTGAGAGGCCAGTCACTCTCTTCACGGGACAAATTGTTGGCAGTCGATAAAAAACCCAAGATAGTGCAAACCCATCTTGAAAACTCCCATATTCTGTGGCTTGAAGTGCTTTCAAGGGAGTCGAATCATATCAAATTTCAGGTTTCTTCAAGAATCGTAAGTAGTTGCATCTGTTCCACTACCGTTTCTTCGTATTTACAAATGAACATGCAGGATTATTGATAATTTTCACTAATTTATTAATTTATTGTTCTTACACCGTTCTCCAGCGATGTCAAAAATAGGGGAAAAGCTTGCATTACGTATCTACTGCACCTAACATCGTTCACCCCAGAAATGACTAAAAGAGGTATTAGTTCGCATTGGTTTAATGATTTTGCAGTTTTTGGTGTAAGATTTCTACTGTTTTGCAATAGTATGACTTCATGACTCTGGTGTAATATTTAGGGGATTGGTTGTGTGATTAGCTCAGGTGGTTTTTTTTTTTAATTTTTAATTTTTAATTTTTTCATTTCAGCTATCCTTACTGCATACTTTTAATTTTGAATTATCATTAGAAAAATTGTTTTATTGTTGTACATTATTCGACATTGTAATTGATTTGTTTGTTGCAGGGAAAGAAATTTTGGAATATGAAGATGACATTATATCGGTGGAGTCCGATGGTGAAAATGTTGTGGATAATACGAGCATACCGAGTGATGATATGTTAGTTGGAGATGGTGCGATTGCGCCTGAGGTGTGACGCCCCGAACTTACGCTTCGAGGGTCACGTACTAAATATAATAGCTTCTGCCTTTGGTACATGCAAATACTCTTAAATAGAAGTGTTACATGTGAAAAACTTATTTTCAACTTGGTAAAATAATTCTTATAAAATTTGATGGCCGATAAAAGTGCATGTCGACAAGGAATTATGCTTCACATATACGGCCTCGGCACTGTCAAGATTAGTTGAGTAGCAAGTTTGACAATTTTTATAAAATTCATCCCAACTCCGTTTTCTATGAAATTTGTGGCATTAGAAAGATAATTTCATGTAGTTTTCTAGGTTAAAATATGAAAATTTTCCAAGATCATATGATATAGACGTTTTACTGAAAACAGTGAAATATTACACAGGAAATCCAGATTGACCTTTAGACGTTAAAACCTTGATAACTCAGGCCATAGATATCCAAATTGAGTGATTCATTCGGCCATATTTAGAGAACTCAAAGAGGAAAACAGAAATATTTTTATAATCTCAAATGGACGTTTATGGAGTTAGAAATATTGTTTTGAATTGACTCCAGAAACTGTCCCGTTTCCTGCCTTTTGTCTCTTTTAAGGAAAATAAACTACAAAAATGTCTCTTAACATAACATGAAAGATGAAATTACAAAATTTGCTATTAATACCATATTTCATCATGTCATGTACATATTTTTACATAATACCATAAGAAAAATAAATGGAAAAAATAGTCATCGAGCAAAACATACAAAAGAAAACTTTCGGTTCAAAAACATCTGTCCTTAATCCATCATCGCTTAAGCCAACTAACTCCCATCAACTCAACGATCATAGATCTGAAAATTTAGCATAACATACTATGAGTATAAGAAATACTCAGTAAGATACCATGCTTGGATTTTTATCAT